TCGGGATATTGGAGTCAGACATGATTTCTGCGGCGTCCATTTTTTCTATTAGTTTCCTGCATTTTAAGTCACGCTTCGTCTGAGTGGGTTTTTCCGCCGCACTCTTCCCGTAGAGCCAATTTTCTTCTTATTCTCACAGAGGCTCCGACTAAAAACCACTAAGTTTCACACATAGAGCGGGACTAGTATGGGGGGGCTAAATGAGCGTCGCCGCTAACAAGTCCAGTGTGTTTTGCTGTACGAGCGTAAAAGGGGAGATGAGGCCAGCTAAGTAAAGGGGCATGTTTAAGGCGCTGGGCCGGTCTTAAAATGTGTACAACAAAAGTAGCTCATTTTAAACGTGTTGTAATGGTCCAAAGTTGTTCCAAACACTAATTTCTGAGCATCGTCATTGCCCGATTTGGCTCCGAGTGTGATTTGACACCTTTTTTATTGAATTTGTTTACGTTTATTCTCTATTCTGTCATGCAAAAATACGCGTTTTGAGCTTTCTACCATGTCTCCGCATAAAAAAAACATGCCCGAAGTGGTTTTAGACGTCATCTATGCATGTTTGAGCAATTTACCGATCTCTCCTAGTCACGATTTAAAGGCAAACGGGACCAGACCGGGTAAGGTGTAGAGATTGCGGTTACAGCGACATCCTCGGCTAAACCGCGGGTCGAGCGGATGACGTGACGAAAAATAATATTTTTATTAAATTTGGGCGGGTGGCGGTTTAACTACTCAAATTAAAAAAAATATATATTATAGCCTATATTGTTAAGTGTTATGAGATATGCGTCTTTACTCCTATGTGCAATGTTTAGAGTGGCGTGTGGCGTGAGCGTGACTCAGTGACTGCGTGCGTGAATGAACGGTCGGAAAGCGACTGAAGCGAGTCAGGAAGCAATTGTCCTGTTATTTAGTGCATCACGGCAAATAAAGCCACGATTCTTGAGCAATGAACTGGCGCGTTTATTGAGCCCACGCACGCTCATGGTGAGGCTCCGAACAGGGAGTTAAACCCTGAGCAACAAGCGGCGTTTTGTTACGGACAATTAAGAATGTGAACATGCACGTTGAGTGAATTTTGGAATGAATGAGCTCTAGAGTTTGTGTTTTTATCGAGGCTCCTTAGTTTGTTTGCTGTATGATTGTTCTAAAATCTAAAATCAATGGGTGGATGGCGGGCGAGTGCGGTTTTGAAAATTGGTCAAAACCTTGGGTGCAAATGGACAGCGGGCGGATGATGAGTTTTGTGTTGCGGTTGCGGATGAAAAAATAGCCCATCCACGCATCTCTAGTAAGGTTCCAAATCAGGCAATAACAGAATCCTAATTATTGACCGTGTTGAGTTTATAAGTGCAAAAACTAGCATGCAGGAAGGACGTAGGTTTGCATAGGGACCACCGTGCATGTCATAACCAATATTTGGGGAAGACAAAATAGTCTCTACCAATATTTTTGTTTTAATAAACAAAAATATAAATTTATTCTGATATTTTTCCAAACTCAGTAGTATTAATTGAACACGTTTTAGTTTTGTTTATTAGACGTTCTGAGATGTATTCAGTGATATGACAACAGGGTTACTCCTGCTGCTATTTCAATGGCTGCAACAGAGTGATGTCATTAGTGGAGCCAGGAGCCTAAACTGGGGAAGCGGCAGGACAGGGCCGCACCTGAAGATGTCGACTTGAGCAGGCGTGAGTGAAAATGCTGCACCAAACTTTGAAAAACTTTTCAGCTTACTTGGATTCATCTTCAATTAAACTTGTCTTATAATGAGTCGAGGAGGAAAAAGAGCGAATAAAAACGGAGCACTGTGAGACCCCGACTCTACTGACAATATTCCATGGAAAAATGTTTGGACATGACCTCACAAATATCTCATCATCAACAAGCAAAGGGAAATCTGCACAAACTTCTACATCACTGTTATCTGCTAAACAATCATCTTAGAAGAATAGACACAAACTGTACATTTTGCGAACTGAAAAATGAAACCACCTCTCACTTATTTTGAACCTGCCCAGACTCTGTGTTTTTGGAAAGAATTCATAAAACATAGACACAACTTCTTATCCCATTTTACAATTTCTTATAAAGACGTGCTGTTTGGTTTTTGCAGTGTGCATCATATGAAAAGTCAACAACATTATATACTTAATCTGTTAATCAAGTAACCTATCAGTTGGTTTCATGGGGGGTTTAATGTCCCCACCAAAGCTGAGACCAAACCTGTGTCCTTGGTATGCAGACACGCACATCCTGATTACCGGACAACAAAACACATAATTCGCTCTATAATCAGATGCAGACGGAACAAAGCTGACTTCCTTTGAGCTCAAGAGCTGCTTATTGACACTTTGCAACTGATGTGGTCAATATTCTTTGTGGTTGCGATTCTAACTGTAGGCACTGCTCTGTCTGAGGCTCTGTTAGACTTTAATCTGATCTTTGTTTTAACACAATCTGACCAGAAAAAACTGACTGAGTTGGAACTAGAGAGAGAAGATTTGTGCTGTTAAACAAGTCTCTCTTTGTTTGTTTGTGTGTGTATTGTGTCTCCATGGTAACAGCTGAATATTCCACCATAGAGAAACATGTAGAACACCCTTTGCATGATGCCACTGTAAAGTATCAATACAATATCTATGTGTACTGCAAGACACTGGTTACTTAAATACATGGAAAGAATTGGACATAGGACATTTACATTCTTATTTCTTCTTCAGGTATCCCACCTTTAAACTTCTTTTGTCTTCCCTGTACCAATATAAAACAGAAAAAAACTATGATATAATGTTGGTTTTCCTTATGAGTGTATAATAGTACCAAAGATGAAGTAGAAAAAGCTGAGCCGAATGTGAGATTTGAGGCTTTTCAAAGTCAGTAATGGTTTTCAATAATGTCTTGTTTCCATGGCACCTGTCCTTAATCTGATAGAGAGGAGATTAAACTGGCTTGAACAGGACCACATTTGAACAATATCATATCAAATTCACAGTTATTGCAAAATGGAGTCTATTTTAGAAGGAATTAATGAAACGTACTAATAAATGTGAAGAACCCTTGGGTGTCACGCACAAGTTCATATCAAAAGCAGAGCAGTTTATCCAAATATGATAAGTTAAAGGGAAATGAAAATTTAAATTAAAACTTTGAAAACTAAAACTATGTGAATTAGGGATGGGCATGATTAGTCGACTAATCATTAACTGATCATTAAGAATTTCATCAGTCATGTTCATTTTTAATCGACAAATCAAATGTAGGTTGCAGTGTAAGAGGACGAGGCTGCGTCTGACAGCGCAGGACATTAGACTTGATTTCTGGAAATTCTGGACTTGACTTTAAGGTTAGAGTTGGGCTTTAGAGTTAGGTTAGGGTTCAAGGTTAGGGTTTAGGGTTAGGGTTACATTTAAGGTTAGGGTTAGGTTATGGCACACCTCCTTGGGGATCAGTGTCCCACTCAGTGAGTGCGATTACATGCACATCGGTGTTCCGGGTATAATCGGGTTTTTTGAGTATCCTGGTTTTGTCATGGTGCATGTAAACGGAGTATCCTGGTTACTGCAACATAAAGTTGAGTGCACATTAGAGGTGCGCGGATGGGCTACTTTTTCATCCGCAACCGCATCACAAAACTCATCATCCGCCCGCTGTCCATTTGCAACCACAGTTTTTGACCAGTTTTCAAAACCGCACCCACCCGCCATCCGCTCGTCCTCCTCCCAGTTGCTCCGAGTTCAGAGTTTTTTATTTGAGTAGTGAAACCGCCACCCGCCCGAATTTAATTTAAATATTATTTTTCGTCACGTCATCCGCCTGACCTGAGGTCGCGGCTGTAACCGCCATCCGCGCATCTCTAGTGCACATACGTCCAAAAGACAAACACTTTTCAGTCTTTTCATCACAACAGGAGCCAAAATAAATAAAATGACCAACATAAATAAAGTGAGTGAAATGACTGTTGAATAAAAAGCTGCACTAAACCTGCACACGCCTGATCTCTGAAAACACGAACCATCTCCAACACGAAACACACACACAACACACTCACCATCATCATCATCATCATCATCCCTTTGTCACAGAGAGAACACTCATATTCCACTGAGTCGTATCCTTTAATCCAACAGAAGCAGAACCGCATCAGTGCACAAGAGGTGTTTTTTCAGCACTTATAGTTTATGCAAATGAGTCATGTGGTTTTAAGTTTCATTTCTGTAAAACTTAAACAAATGTGTCAAAGCTGCATTAAACACATGATAATTTCAAACGGGTTGATGTGGCTGTAGAGTGGTTATGGTTTATATGTTGTAAAGTTGAGTTTATTTTTGCAGATTAGTAACAGTAATAATAACTGTGGTAATTTTAACATAAAAACATTAACCTTTAATAATTAATCGAAAATTGATCGTTAAGTCTCCTGACGATCGGTTAAGAAATTTAATCGAATGCCCATCCCTAATGTGAATGTCAACTTTTTGTGGAGATTGATTGCAGTAACAGTTCGAAAAAAATTTGAAATAGACCTTCTAATATAGATAAAATAATGGGGTAATAAAACTTTGAATTTCTCATTTTGATCTCTGAAAAGAAAAACAACAACATTATTTTCATTTTGAATTTAAGTCGCTGAATTTTTTAAGTATATATTTTTTTTAAAATCTATAAATAAAAATCTAAATTTAAATCTTCTTTTAAATAGCACAAATATTTTCAAGCCCACTTATTCAACAGCATAAAATTCGCAGTACAAGATTTCACAGTGTAGATCAAATGTCAATCTATTTGAATTATTAATACATTTTAATTTAATGTTTTCATTTTCATATTTTTCTTTTATTTTTATTACATTGTGTCAAACCAGATGTTGTTTAAGGTGTTATAGCACAAGTTGTAATTTTCAATATCTCTCCACAACTAAAATATTAAAAGGTTTACACAAAAATACATCCTTCTCATAATAACAGATTCTTTGTTTTCTTCTTGTTGTGTTCTGTTTCCAGGGCGGCGTGCTGACGATGCCCGTGGTGAGTGCCCAGTCCAGGGGTCAGTACTCGTGTGAGGCCTCCAGCTCTCAGGGAAGCTCCGCCCACAGCACCAGGGTCAATGTCAAAGGTCAGTGTGCACTTCGCAGCTTGAGCAGCGTGTCTGCTGTAGTCTTCTGTGTCGGCGGTGCTCATTATTCTGATGATTTATACAAGAAAGTAAACAAAACAAGTAGAGATCACTTTCAGATCGGAGAATGCACTGATGTAGAGTATAGGGAGGCTTTTTGTATGTAGGGAAGTGGCTCAATTTCACGACATAATACACATACAAAATCAGTAAATACAACACTTCATCTGCACAACACCACCCAGTCAGCTCACTGTTAGCGACACTACTTCCTGTCCCAGTAAATCGCTATCGGGCTTTTGCACAGTTGTGCCTGAAATCAGTAAATTAGGGGTGGGACATTAATGCGTTAATTATGATTAATTAATTACAAAGAAAATAATGCATTAAAAATTGAAGTTTGCATATCAAACAACGCGGAACATTTGTCAGTGCACCATGTTGTGGTACAACAATTACCATAATTTCCGGACTATAAGCCTCTACTTTTTTCTCACACTTTGAACCCTGCGGCTACTAAAACAATGCGGCAAATATATGGACGGATTCCTCATTTGGCACATTGTCCATTCATATACACGGTCTATGGTTTGGGAACACAGTGGATATGTGCAGCCTGAGTGCGGAAAACACCTCTGTCTGTGCGGTTACACATGGATCTAGGGTTCACATGAAGTTGCTACACTAGCTAGTGATATTGTCAGTGCACTCAAGTAGTTTATTGCCGTTGATAAAGTAAGTTATGATGCTAAATGAACATTAGTGAGGGGGATATGTCTTACCCGTATGAGTAAATGATGAGAAGAAACGTCTCAAACTTGAGTAGCCAAACATCCACTCATACCTAATTGATAGAACTAACCCCGCCCCCGAGAGAGTCTGAAATCTGCTAAAATCCTCCAAGACACTGACATGATACAGACAGAACAGACTCTTTCTGCAGGAGACACGTGCAGTAGAGCATGGAGAGAGACGGGGTGATGCATTGAGGAAGTTGCTCATTTGATTTTGTTTTGAACAGTTATTTTGTGCTTCAAACACACACCCTCCTCATGGAAAACACACAAAGAAATGGAGATGATGCAGCTTTTAGGTTAAAGGCAATTGATGTGACTGAGGAAGAAGGAAACAGAGCTGCTGCACGTGAGCTCGGCATCAGTGAGTCGATGGTGAGATTTTGGCGACAGCAGTGTGATGAACTGACTCAAAGCAAAAAGACGACAAAAACTTTCAGAGGTGACGACCGGAACTTGAAAACGTTCTTGAAGATGTTTACACATGCGGCTTATATTCAGGTGCGGCCTATATATGTACAATTAAAAAATTTAGTTGATGCGGCGTATATTCGGGTGCACTCAATAGTCCGGAAATTACGGTATACTGACGCACATAGTTCTGACTACAATAATGGAGCATGAAAGCGCTCTGGGTCTGCTGGACGGTACATTTCTATTAAAAAAACGACCCGATGAAGTATTGACGAAGGTGTCGTTTAATGTAGACTTTGCAGAAAAGAGTATGTTATTTGGAATGTAACAACTTTAAGGCTACCTTTATACGGTGAAGGTCTGATCAGAAGATGCAAAAATGGCGTCGCGTCTTCAGTTTTTATTCCACGTTTAAACCAGCATTTTCAGGAGGAAGTCTGCGTGCATCCGATGACACAAAAGTGTGTGGAATTCGACTGGGTATGCATGCCAGGTTTCTGTGTACTGTATGTATGTGAAGTAAATGTGTACATGACGTGAGCAGATCTGACCAGAGTTTTGCGTCTTGGGCAGTGTAGACGGAAACACTATGGTGGAGCGTATTCAACTTTTCTACTCTGGAGGGTGGTTTCAGATTTTTGCGTTTTTAGGCTCCAAAAACGTTGTTACCATCCAAACAAAAGGCACTTTCGATAAAATATTTTGTCTTTTTTACTCAGAAGTGTTCTCGTGTAAACGGGCCTGAAGTAAAATGGCACGTTGACTTTAGTGTCTTCAAGTTTACCTTTGTTTACTATTTTGAAATTAAATGCAATTTATTTTTTCAGACATTAAAAGAGGTTGAGTTTAAAAGTGTCTGTGTATATTATTTGATGAATTCGTCCACTAAAATTCATAATAAATATTGCTTTTGGGGCAAATATTGTTATGTGAATAATTGAGATCAATTCATTACAAAGCCTGTTATTAATTATATCATTTTTTAAACGAAGTTCCACCCCTATAAGAAATACTTACTACTTAAAGGTCATATATTACACAAAACTAACATGTTATAATGCTCATCAGAACCAGATCGGGTGTTGCATTTTGTTTCATTCACACGTTTGAGTTGAGTGGGAGTTTTGAAGTTAACGGCTCCTTTTACCTTTTGTTCAAACGAAATGGAATTCTGAATTTGATCATTTTTAGTCAAAAGACTCACTAACTCACTCCCAGCGCAACAACACGAAAAACAGAACTAGTTAGTCACTTACTTCATACATTCAGAGTATATTCACTGCAATGAGTTTACAAGCGTTTTTTACAACTTTTAGAGGCCGTCACAGTAATGCCAGCAACTAGCATGCTAACAGTGCACTTCCTGATAATCTAACAATAAAACACTTTGCAGTTAGAAGCAGACAGATGTGTGAATGAAACAAAACACATCTCCATTTATGTCTGTGATGAGGAAACATTATCCAAAAGTGAAAAAAATGCTTAGCACAGTCAGATGGCCGATGTCCAAAAGCCTTTTTTTTTTTTTTAAATTACATTTTCGCAAAAGGCCTTTGTCAGATAATTTTTCTTGCTTTGGACCACAGTATGCAAAGTGGTTGCCAGCCCAGGTGCTCATATCCCCCTAATGAATGGGAGGTCCCAAAGTGAGTTAACCCAGTGAGATCAGCCCACTCTACAACAAGAAAAAAAACAACTGTTAGATATTTACATAAAAACATTCTCATAAAATACTAAAATAGTTTGACCATATCAGAAAAAGGATCTTCGGTCAAAGTCCACATTAAGTCCGTGAGGAGCAAAAGACTTAGGTTATGTTTTGTTTACACTAAAAGGAATATCTGTACAGTATCGGAAACGATTTGCGTCCAGACATGTTGTTTCTGTGTCCGCAGTCAAAGCCTTCCCTCCACACAGTAACACAAAACTGCCTGAAAAGATAGTCACATGTGGGCAGTAAAAACAAGGAAGTGGAGCACCGTGTCTGAATTTGCTGCAGCCGATTTTGAACCGAGGAAGTTGGCAAGCAGTAAAACAGTGTGTTCATGGACCGACGACAAGGTTCAGTTGTTACTGATTTGTTTAAACAGTTTTCCGCAATAGCATCACATGACCGATGTCACAAACCCAGCGAATCAGGAAGGTGCAAGTCACAGTGACGTGGTCTAATAAGGACACAACTAGAGCTCCTATGTCAGTGTATCAGCGTTTTCAGGCGTCCACACAGCGCCGGATCAGATCAGTACTCAGATGAATTCGTAGGAGCTGGAGGCACCAGATCGTTCTGTCTCTGGAGCCATTTTCCATCAGATTAGTGTGGACGAACACTGCATCCACAACGAAAACCACTCGAATACAAACACGTACTGGTGTGGTTGGGGCTTAAGTTAGTGAATCCAGAATTGCTCTCTTTTTGACAGGAGCATTTCCAGATTCTCACCTCTAGGGGCCAGTTTTACAAGTTCAATGCCAATTTAATGTATCTTAAGGAAGAGATAGGATGGTTGTAATCTACAGGAAACAACATTATGACATAGCTCTTAAAATAGTGTAATACAGGCCCTTTAAAGTATTTGTAAGTATAGTTCAACTAGTACACAAATAGAGTACAGCTGTCTACATATAGTAACAGATGATCACGGGCCCATTGCTGCTGTCACTTGGCCCCACACACCTCCTCCTCTCCGCGGTGATGTGCTGTGACTGTCTGGAGCCTGCGCTGTTTAAATCCATTTCTCCACATTGCATCATGGAACCTGGAGCTGATACAAACCTGAACATTTTACCTGTCGTGTCCATGATAAGTGTAGTGTTACAACAGCAGACGCCGACTCTACCGGGTCACCAACACAAGACATGTCCAAATAATAATATAAAACACATACAGGTTTGACTGATTTCTATTTTGACTCTGCTTTTAAAGTGCGTTTGACAGATGAATAGAGTTTTATAATTCTGACTTGGTTTGGTGCAGTAATGTCTGTGGTAATTATTTATTGTTGTTCAGTTAAAGATTCATTGGGCACGTTTCTAGTGGAGGATCTGTCGCATGCTTGTCTCCATGGAGATGTGATTGCTTTGCCTGGAATGTTCCACAGTATAACATTAAACACATCTATTAAGCATTTATTCATTACGTTATATTATTTGTATATAAATAATATAATAATATAACAATGAAATACATGAAAAACAGAACTAGTTAGTCCTCACATGCATTCCGAGTATCCAGTTATTCACCATGATGAGTTTACACGCGTTTTTACAACTTTTAGAGACCGTCACAGTAATGCCAACAGCTAGCATGCTAACTTCCTGCACTTCCTGATTATCTAACAATAAAACACTTCGCAATTAGATGCAAACAGTCCACGGTAGACTTATTTTGACCTCAAGCACAGCATTTATAATATATATGTGCTGGGTTAGACACATTTCACTCAAATACATGGAAAAAAACAGGTACATGCAAAGATGTGTGTATGAAATTCAGTTTGTCACCTGGACAAAAGTTAAACCCTTTCTCCTGGGTTCTGATTCTCTGTTGTCAAAGCACATTTTGGATAGCCAAAGACAGAAAGGACTTTCTGCACATGTTGTTCTTCTTTCTCCTTTCCCTCTGTGTTTGTAGGAACAACTTGGGCCCTGTGTCGTAGTGTCCGAATCGCCCAAAGTTTGTGTGCAGTGGGTGGTGTGAATCAAAAGCAGGTATTGGTCAGTGTGTGTGGGACTCCAGGTTGAGGTCTTCCGGAAGCCCACACTAACAAACAGAAACTGTAAACAAGTAGATGTGTTAATTTCAGGTAGATATAAAGAAGTGTCCACCAGCATTTTGACCAGAACTGAAAAAGAAACTTGGATGAGCTGCAAAACTTATTCGACCAAAATAAACTTTTGTCCAGTTGACAAATTTAATTTCTGCTTTTACCAAGATACATGTAAAATATATAAATTGTTTTAGATTTCTACCATGTTATAATATTCCCTCACCAACCATAGTGGCTGAGAGGCTGGCACTTCCAGGCTTGATCCCGGGTTGCGTGGGAATTCTGTGTAGCGTTTGCATGTTCCCGTACGTCTGGGTGTTCCTCCAGATACTTTGGTTTCTCCAATAACTTCACAAACCTGATTTGATTTGCAGTAGTTTCATTAGCGGGGTGCGGGATGATTGTATTGTGATAGCTCTCTGAAGGGGGAGTGATATAGCATGGGGAGCAAGGGGAGGGAGACTCAAGAGTGCCAAAACAGAAGAGACAAAACTTCATGGAAAATATAGCATTTTCAAAACAATAAAATGTAACATGGTACTAAATTTGATTTGGACTTAAAACCTATTCCAAATCTCAACTTTTTGGTTTTCTGCTTGCATAATTTTAAACACACTTGAAGAGCTGTACCTCATATTATGCCTCCTTCAACATCCACTTTAAAAGCTCTGAAAACGTTGACTATGCAAATGGCGCAGTGTGTCATTGGATTACACCGACACAGAGCAGCATAAGACTGCCGTGGGATTGGATTGTGCTTCCTCCGCTCCTCCCACTCGCCCGCGCTGTTCTGGGTAAACACATCCAAGACCCGCGCGCTCCCGGCAGCTACAGCGGCCACACTGTGTTAAATAGCGTTACATTAAGGCCAATCCGCTCTAATGTGAAGGTGATCAGGGGTTTGGCGCTGTGGTGGTCCAGCGGTGCCACATGGATTAGGCTAATGGCTTCGCTGGACCAACTCTGACTAAGCTCTAAATGGTAGTTAAGTTAAGCGATTGAAGTGGGGGTATGCGAGTGGCCAGTCTCACTTAGCAAATTAAAGGAGTACTGTGTAACTTTTGTGATGAATGGGGCTTGTCTTTATGGAGTTTTGTTGATTAGACGAGTCCATTAAAGGACCCGCATTACGCCACTTTCTGATCTATGTTATAATGTTTCCTCATCACAAATACACTTGGAGTTGTGTTTAGTTTCATTCACACATTAAAAACACAAACTCTACATCTTCAGGTTCTTCTCTCTTTTATTACTAACCCTTCCAGAACATAACTTTCCAACCATAAAAGATAGAAACTTACTTTTTTTTTCTTGAAAAGCTGAGAGTTGCTGCTGTCCGAGCATATTTTCAGCATTATCCTACATCACACTTATGGTGCGTGATGACGTAGGGAAAACAAGTGTCCAATAGGAACTTTGTTTTCTGCCAAACTCATGTGCGCCATCCATTTTGATTGGCCTAAACTTTGCCAAAGAGTGTAAATGAGTCAAAGAGTCAAAATGGTCCATGCTCTGAGCTTTTGTGTTTGTAATTGAAAAAGCTGCTCTAAGTGCGGTTATTTCTCAAATAAATGGCAAATGGCAAATTGCATCTTGGTCTGTGAAATTGGGCGGCAGTAGTTCAGTTGGTAGAGCATTCGCCCACTGATCTGAAGGTTGGTGGTTCGATTCCAGCTCTCGACATAAAAACATCACAGGTTGAGCGGACAGATCCACTGACCCACAGGTTGGCTGGTGTGATTCCAGCTCCCACAGATGAATGCTGTCGTTGTGTCTTTGGACAAGACACTTAACCCACCTTGTACACTGGTGTGTGAATGTGTGTGTGAATGGGCGAGTGGTTCCTTGTTGTAAAGCGCTTTGAGTGCCTTGAAGGTGGAAAAGCGCTATAGAAAAATGTGACCATTTACCATCTATTGCTATTTAACACCGCGTGAGTTGTGTGCTCCTTTGTGTCTTTTATTTATTGTCTTTATCTATTTTATTTTTTTAGTACTGCTTTTATGTATTGATTTTATTATTTTTGTTCATTTATTTTACTATTATTATTTTATTTATTTATTCTATTAGTTTCCTCTTGGCTGGAACATAATTCAGCAGATTTTATTTTATTTTTTGTAAGTAAAATGTTTTACATTGCTATGTGAAGCACTTTGGAAACGGTCTTGTTTATAAAATGTGCTAAACAAATAAAGTTGCTACTGTCTCCGCGACCCAGCCCCGGATAAGCGGAAGAAAATGGATGGATTGTAATTTTTTTTTAACGGTTTATTTCACTCAAAATGTACAAATAAAAATGTAATAAACACCATGGAAGGAGCTGTTTCCGTGACTGGCACCAGGAAAGTAATGGGGTGATTGCACCTTTTTTTTGTTTTGAGGGCAATAAGGATATTTTAGTTTACTTAGAAACTTGATATTTTGCACTTTTGTAGCTAAGGCCCTAAATTAAGTATTTTTTATGTTCATAAAGTTGTTTATACATGTTTGCTGGGTGTTTTGTATGAAAGAGTATAAATTTTTTATTTTATTTTTTTTCATTTGTATTTCTGGTCCTGTAGCTTTTATTACAACCATATGACACAACTATAACAGCAGATTGTGAAATAACAGGCTGTACTGAATAACACTTCATTAGGAGGTACAAGGGAGAGTTTTAATAGCAAAATTAAGAAAAAAATCCAGGCGAGGACAAATGTACTAAAATTGCTCTTAGGTCTGGAAGGGTTAAATTAGTCATTAATGGGGCATTATTGGGTGAAATCATGCAGCTTTGTACCATGTTATAAAGCTGTTCCCTCATCAAAAACATGCCCGAAGAGGTTTTAGATGTCATTCGTGCTTGTTTGAGTAATCTAGTGATCTCTCTCAGGCCCTAGTCAAACCCTCCTTTTGGTTAGGGTTAGCTGTAAGATTCTGTCCAATGCTTCTTCTACAAATCAACATTACCCACGCTCCCACACGACAATTCTCCGTGAATTTCCAAAACAGTACACTACAACTTCACAAACCTGATGCGATGTGCAGTAGTTTCATTAGCAAGATGCACGGTGATTATGTTGTGGTAGCGCTCTGAAGCACGGAAATCAAAAAGAGGGGGAACTCAGAATGTTAAGAATACAGTCTTTGCATCATTTAAAGATGCACTGTGTACTTTTTTGTAAGTAAGTAAGTTTTGGTTCCATGGATATGTCATTGCTCTGTCTGGAATGTCCCACAGTATGACAATAAACAGCTTTACCTTACATTTATTCAATTACAGGTGGTTTTATAGCTCAAAAATACCTAGAAAAATAGACATTCTGACTGTGACCGGGGTCGTTCTCCACAGATCTGACCTGTAACTTGGTCTGGTTTAGTTTGCATGAAGATAGACAATTTTAATACCAAACTGTCACCTTTAAGTCTTTCCAAACGATCAGATGAATCAATTTGGTGAACCGAACACTTTGAATTATGCATCGCTTTAATACAAACATTTCTTTTTCTCTGTAGGACCTCCCGTGATCATCATCCCGCCCAAAAACACCCAGCTCAACATGTCCCAGGACGCTCTGCTGCAGTGCCAGGCCACGTCCGACCCGCCCAACATGACCTACGTGTGGCACAAGGGCCACGAGAACGTCTACCACATCGAGTAAGTGTGAAAAGTTTAAATCAACTCCCCAAAAGTGTCAAATTACTCTTAAGTTTGCAGACCACCTGTACATTATATTTTAATGGTGGAGGTTTGTTGGAGCTAGTTAGAGTCAAGTCTGTGTCTTTGAAGTGGGATGGCATCACTCCACTGACAGACAGAAAAAGGTTCACACGGTTGCATAAGGCAGCTTTACTTTTCTCCAACCTGGCAACTTCAGAGGTGAAAGACTACAGACAAACCGACAGTTCTCGCTTGGACAGGTGAAGCTGGATGAAAAGGAACGTTGGGCGTCGGTGCGTGGCAGACGGGCTGTGAGTCGTAGAGTCATCGCGCAATTGAGTTGAAGAGCCATCAAGCTAAATGAGAGTACTTGTATTGTAAAGCGGCAATTAACTAGCGTGTATGAGAAATGAATGCAGTGTTTGCTAAATGCTGTTGCTGCAGGAAGAAGAAGGAACAGAGACAAATGGCTACCTCAAGGAACTGTGTGTAGCCTGCACTTGTATTGTTTTAAAAAGGTGTTACAGTCACAGCTGAGCTTTAACCTGCAGACGGAGGACACATACAAGTTTGTCTAATTCTCCATATATATGGACAGGCCTCATGTGAAAGCCCAGAACCTCCAGAATTCCCTCAGAGGCTGCACTACTCAACTCTCTCAACTCAGCTTTATTTCTAGAGCACTTTAAAAACAACACAGTTGGCCAAAGTGCTCTACACAAACAGATAAACGGTGACAAATACAGTACAGGTACAGGTAAAATAGAATACAAAACAAATACAAGTAAAAAGTCAACACTCAAACTGTGTTAAAAGCCAAGGAGAAAAAGTGGATTTTTAGGAGGGACTTAGGTAGGGTGACCATATTTCCGTTTCTGAAAACCCGGACACCTTACCGGGGGTGGGGGTGGAGCTTCGACATAGAGCTACACTCACCTCGCAACCTGTGCACATGGCCTCCCACTTGTCCTGAGCGGGACAGAAAACTGAGAATTTCTTGTACAAGTCATTGTACAAGTCATGCTTCGGCATATGGCAGGCTGACCGTTTGTGTCTGTTCTCTCCTTCTGAGTGCACAGACAGCTACGAGAGCCTGTCAGTTTAATGGTCCCAATGAAAGGTAATGAAAACCCGGACATTTGCATCACATAAAAAAAAGAAATCCAGACGCCCGGGACAGGATGCAACAAACGGACATGTCCGGGGGAAAATGGATGTTTGGTCACCCTAGACTAAGGGCCCGTTTACACAAGAACGCTTGTGGGTAAAAACAACAAAATATTTTATCTGAAGTACCCATCGTTTCGAAGGTGACAGTGTTTTTGGGGCTTAAAAAGTCAAAAATCTGAAACCACTCTCAAGAGTGGAAAAGTTGAATACACTCCGCCGTAGTGTTTCTGTCTACACTGCTCAAGACGCAAAACTCTGGTCAGATCTGCTCACGTCGCGTACATGTTTATGTCACATACATACAGTACACAGAAACAAACATGTCGGATCATTTCCATGCGTTGGACCTTCAGGCTGTTCTGGCAGCTCTAATAAACTTACAGGAGGCTCCCAACAAATGTAGAGAATCTGCAGAGATACTATTAGTGAACAGAGAAGTATTTGCAAGCACCTCTGTCAAATTCTGGATGCACCAGTTCGTCACATGCGAGCCAGACAGATATGGATAAGACCTGGAGAACCAGTCGATGGTGGGACAAGTTTGTGGAGTAGCTGATAAAAATGCGTGGCGTGAAAACTTCCGTATGTCCAAATATGCCCTTGTTGCTTTAAGTCCATGCATATCCAATCGAATTCCACACACTTTTGTGTCACCATATGCACACACATTTCCTCCTGAAAACACTCGTCTAAACATGGAATAAAAAGTGAAGCCACTTTTGCGTCTTCTGTTCAGACCATCATCATATAAACATAGCCTTAAAAACAGGTAATGAGTGAGTCAGTCTGAAGTGCAGAGGGAGCTGATTCCACAGCCTTGGAGCAGCCACTGCAAATGCAGATCTCCAGTCGTCTCTGTTTTCTTCTGGTCTTTGGGACATGAGGAGAGCCTGATCTGCTGACCTGAGAGCACGAGAGGGGGAGTGAGGTAGAAGCAGCTCAGACAGCTACTGAGAGGCCATATCATGAAGCCTTTTAAAAGCAAATAAAAGAATTTTAAAATCAATGCGAGTCAATAATGAGTCAGTGCTAGTGCAGCCTCTGCAGCTTTTTTATTTATTTTTTTTAAACAGTAAGAGCACAGGCTACACACACTTTCTTTAAAGACAGAATCAGAATGTATTTGCCATTTCAGTATAAAAACGAAACACTGTACTCAGGTTTCAAAAATGCAAGTCTTTCTAAACAACCTCTACCTCCCCCATTTTCTAAAGTGCCAGTCACCGTTGTATTCTCATCTTAACTGCAACCTTATTTGACTGTTACTCCAACACATATTATTTTCAACATAGAACTTTATTTGAGTTTTATGAAAGCATTCACCTTCACATAACATACTTTTATAGGTCAGGATGTGTGTCTTCCATTTAAGTGCAGTTTAATGCGGCGGTACAGAGCGTGCTAGCAGGAGGTGCCAAATCAAAGGCTCATATTGTACAAGTCAACAGAACAGTGACTCTCCAAAGTGTTGCATTAATAGAGCGCCGGGTGATGAAACAGAACTGGATTCCTGCAGGAGAGAAAGTTATGAAAAACTTATAAATGTGGAAAAGGTAGCGTGTGACTCAAAGGTTATCTGTAGGACTTTTTGTGATTGACTGTGTGAACTTTCAACCTCACAGATTCAATCAAAGGTGAATTATGTAACTTTTCTGGCATTAGTTTTGGCAAAAGTATTGAAAATCACACACTAATTGATACTAAAACTAATATCGAAACTAGATACTCATTTGAGCAGGTATCGATACTAAAAAAGCCACATTCACAGAACAAAAATGAACCTTTCGTGAATATCTTTAGAAGTTGCACGGTTGCAGATCCGTGGAGAGGCGAGCACTAAGGAGGGCTGATAAGGAGGGTAGATTTGATTGATTTAATGATTATTTATTTGATTATATTGAATTTATGTTTTACTACAATTGTGTAAGAGAGCTGTGCAGTCACATTTTGGGCAGAGTCCATATAAAATAAAAAATTTAATCTTTATTTATAAAGCACTTTTAAAGACAAGGTTTACAAAGTGCTGTACAAGCAGCAAAGAACAATGCAAAACGAATAAAAATATCCATCCAGAAAGCATACAAATCAGCTAATTATGCAAACAATCCAATAAAATATATATATATAAAAAAGAAATAGAATAAAAAGAAATAAGGAATCAAATCAAGCTAAAACCAGTTAAAGGATGTATAGAGTATTTTTTAAGGGAAAAGACATACAGCGACAGTCCTTTTTCAAATGTTGTGCATGCGTGACACTACCTTCCTTCTCCACAGCTCCCTCAGTAGAAACACCTCCTCCCGCCTCCTTAATCTAGAAATCACGCTTGTTTACTGTCAGTGTGTGTTCAAAATTACTGTTGAAGTGACCTGTCTAGAAATAATTTAGCGACCGACGCCTCAGTTTTTAGAACCTTCGTCTGTTTCATTCGCACCATCGCTGGAAGAGATCTCCAAGAATCACCTCAGTTTGGCTTTGCTCCCTTTCCCCTTCTCTTCTTCTTTCTTTTGCGGCGAACTGGTCATGGATTCTCGTCCGCCATCGCAACAAACTTTGTGCAAACTGCGAGGAAGATACAGTTTGAAAAGAACCATTGCAAAACCACATAATCCCCGTGCGCTGGCATGTCAGTTACACTAGAAACGTAGGAAGTATGATTGACAACGTAACAGTCAATAGAAAATGAGGTAGCCTCGTTATCTATTGGTTGATGTTGATCTGGCCTCACTATGTCCACAGTTGATAGATTTTCATTCTTTTTTTTTTTTTTTTGGTCATCATAATTACAAGGCTGCTGCATCTCTGTAATGGTGTTTTAAACTTTCACTGACAATTTGAAACCAAAAAATAAATAAAAAAAAATCCTCCATACAACATTTAAAGGAAGGTCAACCAATAAAAATGAGTTTTAAAGATGATAGTGATAGTGTGAGCCTTATCTCCTCAGGCAGGTCGTTCCAAAGCCGAGGCACCCGGACTGAAAAGGCTCCAACACCTTCGTCCAGAGCCTAGACTTTGGAACATCCACAGGGATCTGCCGAAGGATCTAAAGCTGCGGGAGGCTCGTACGGGTTAAACGTTCTGAAATGTAACTTGGTGCAAGACCTAAACGTGTTTTGAAAGTGGTCAGTAAAATCTTAAAATAGATTCTAAAACACACAGGAGCCAGTGATGGGAGGATAAAACAAGGGTCATGTGTTGATGTTAACTCAGTGAGGAGCCGAGCTGCTGCGTTCTGAACCAGTCGGAGGCGGTAGATGGATTTAGAGTCAAGGCCAGAGAGGGGGGAGCTGCAATATCATCGTATCATAGTATAGCGTTCAAATGAAGCTCTGTGTATATTCTTTAGGCAGATCTATAAGCCAGCTCATATTGATAGTCTACTTTGCAGTGACATCATACTGGGGGTGTTCTCTATAGCTGGGTTTCACGTGACGTCACAGGGCTACGTTTGTCAGCACGAGAAATCAGATGGAGGGCAGGACGTGAACTAACTGGAGGAAGCTGTTGTGTCTTTTTCTGGAAAATGGCTATGTGTTGTGTAGTTTACGGATGTGCCAATCGTTCTAACTTAGAGAAGGAAAAGCGATTTTTGAAAAACAAAAAGTGGATTACAAACCTACGTTTGCGGTCGGGAGGAGCAGAATCCGCAAATGCTCGTGTCTGCAGTGACCACTTTCTCAAAGGTATTTTACAAAGATAGGTTGTTTTTTGTGGTTTACCTAAACATAAACAAATCAATAACAACTAACGGCTAACGACATTTGTTGACATTAAATAGTTCGGATAGATCGGTCACTGCCGATACACTGCAGTTTTTTCCATGA